AAAAAAAAAAAAAAAAAAAAAGGGAACATTGGGCAATTAGAGCTTAATCTGTTGATTGGGAAATTATCGATACTTTTCTTAAGTATGATAAATTATTAGGTGTTTTTCTAAGAAAAGTGGATAATCTGTTGGGTGCTAAAGTATCTGTAGTTGAAGTATTATGATGTTTGGCATGTGAGGTTTGCTTCACGGTACATGGGGAGTAAAAGATAGAAGGGAAGAGAAAACAGTGTGCATTTTGTTTCGTTTTGTCTTTTGAGATGGAGTTTCACTCTTGTTGCCCAGGTTGGAGTGCAATGGCACGATCTCGGCTCATGGCAACCTCCGCCTCCCAGGTTCAAGCAATTCTCCTGTCTCAGCCTCCCAAATAGCTGGGATTATAGGCGTGCGCCACCACGCCTGGCTAATTTTTTATTTTTAGTAGAGATGGGGTTTCTCCATGTTGGTCAGGTTGGTCTCAAACTCCTGACCTTGTGATTCGCCTGCCTCAGCCTCCCAAAGTGCTGGGATTACAGGCGTGATCAACCATGCTCAGCCAGCATCTTGTTAACTATTGAAGCAAACTGATCCGAATGGGAGGGTCATTACTGCATACTATTCTCTGTACTTTTGTGCATTTTGAAAATTGTCATTAAAAAAAGTGAAAAAGCTGAATATACATTAATGCAAGGTTTATTGTTTCAGGGATTGGTGACATTCAGAGATGTGGCCATAGAGTTCTCTCTGGAAGAATGGAAGTGCCTGGAACCTGCTCAGAGGGACCTGTACAGGGAGGTGACTCTGGAGAACTTTGGTCACTTGGTATCGCTAGGTAAGGAGATTGTATCACATGGACCAGATGGGAAGCAAGGCACCTGGGACTGCAACCATGCCTGAAGGGGTGAGGAGAGGAAACTGTCACAGAGACACTACAAACTATAGAGAAGAGCCCGGCCAGCAATAGCTGTAGCTACTTCCAGAGCTCCGGATCAGAGGAGGGAGGTAGAGGGGTGAGAAATGCCTGGTGCCCTCTCTCCTCCTGTTCACTGATCTTCAGTTGGTGCTTCCTGTCTGCCAAAGCCAGTGAGAAGCCAGAAGGCATAGGTATTGCAGTCCTTACAGTGAGCTGTCGGGATCCCAGAGCAAGGCACGGAACAAGGCCAGGAGCATCAAGGAACAGATTGGAAGGGAAGGAGGGGCTCATGGAGAGTGATCACAAATATCTGCTCAAATAATTCAGGACTAGCCTTCTAGAATTTCTGGTTTCTTCACTGTGAATTTCTAGGGTAACTTACAAGTTTCTGACTGAATTTCTGGTGACTGAAAAGTTGCTTTGTGCTTTGCGGAACTGGAAACAAGTCATTTCATTGGGCACGTCGGTCTTCCCATGCTTTGGACAACCTTCCCCTTCCTTGTGATGGCGTTTTTCCATGGTAACTGGGGAACTGGGTTTGGATTTTGGAGCAGTCTGATCACACCCCGTTTCTTTTGCTGTAAACAGGACTCTCCATTCCTAAGCCTGATGTCATCTCCTTACTGGAGCAAGGGAAAGAGCCCTGGATGATTGCAAATGATGTGACAGGACCATGGTGCCCAGGTGAGCGAGGGCTGATTCCATGGTAGGAGGTCCCTGGGTGAGTCAACTGACAGCAGTAACTTGAGTTACTGTGGAAACGTCCCTGAAAGCCCTACTGTGGAAGAAAGGGTGAGCAAAGACCTTACTAGTGTCAGCTCCCAAGGGACCCTTGTCCTACTCCCATTAATTCCTGTTTTCTCTTATCTCACATTTTCCTTCCTTTTTAAAAAGAGATACACCCACTCCTTCCCCAGTGGCCACCTTTTTAACTATACTTTGTATCCCTTTTTTTTTTTTTTTTTT